GGAGTACATGCTAACAAGTACAAGTGTCATATCACTTGTATTATTTATCATTTTTAGAGTATTTTTATGCTACTGGAGTACATGCTAACAAGTACAAGTGTCATATTTTGTGGACAAATTGGAAACACTGAAATGGCTGCAGCGGGGCTTGCTCAATCGGTACGTTCTTACTTTTATAGAATTAGTTCCATTGGATTCCATACCATCAATAAAGTCAAGTGAATCTATAGCACATTTTATTATTACTATTGTCACTAATTCATTCCTTTATTATAATAATTTGTGATACCATTTTAAAAATTTTAATTAAAATCATAACTTGCATAAGGTGCTAGTTTCATCATTTAACAGATTCGTACCCTTCGTATAAACATACATTATGATGACAAACACTAAAAAATAATTTATTTTTTCAGATAATATCTATTTTTTGCTTTATGCCTGGATATGGTATGGTGACTGTGTGTAACACTTACTTTTCTGCCGTAAGTTATATATTTTTTTTACTGTTATCATCAACATCATTACGCCATTATCATCATCATCGCCATTATTGCCATCATCATCATCGTTATCATCATCATCATTATCATCATCATCATCATCATTATAATTATATTACGATTATTATATTATTTATATTATTAATTATTGTTATTATTATTATTATTGTTATTGCCATTGTTATTAATATTATTATTATTATTATTACTATTATTATTATTATTATTATTATTACTATTATTATTATTATTATTATTATTATTATTATTATTATTATTATTATCAAAACAATGTTTGGAAACCAGATGAAACTACAAATTATTACAGTACTATTATTGGTATTGTAGGCATATTTATTAATATTACTATGGCACAACGTATATGCACGTATAATAAATATATCACTATTATTATTATCATTTGTTATTAATTAATCATTTGTTAATATTGTTTAGATTATTATTTTTTATCATTATTATTAATATTATTGTCATTATTAGCATTCTTATAATCATTCTAACTGTTATGCACGAGTTAGATGGTTGTCTATAAGCTATACAATAATCTTCTTGATAGGGATTTGCCTCCAAAGACGACAGCAGACAAGGAATCATCCTGCAGAAAGCGCTGTTACTCTCATGTATTGTGACGTTGCCATGCTGGGGTATACTCATAAACACCGAGGGCATGCTCCGCCTACTTCACCAAAAGGAAGATATTTCAATGCAAGTGCACTCTCGTGTTATATAATTAAATACGCTCGTAAAACTGAAGAAATTAAGCCGGGCACTCACTGCGCCCGACGGTCGTCGCCCGACGCGATTCTCTATGGAAAACGCAACGCGCGTGCAACGGATGTTTTTAATGACAATCCGTTTAGACTTTCATCGACTCACAGACGGCGTCGCGTCGTCTAGCGCTCACAGAGAGCTAAGTTGGATTCTACGACCGTCATTCGACGCAGTGATTGCCCAGCTTTTATATTCTTATCAGAATGCTAGAAAGCGTTTTCAATAATCGTTATTGCAATTTGTAATCAAATTGAAGTTTAACAATCAAAATCGACAAACAGGAAAAATAGCAGACAAAAATGAATTTAAAAATTCAATAAAATTCAACATACATCTCTAAAATGCATTTGCCTCGCAGTGCAATGCACTGCAGTACGATTTGGAATCCTCCCCATGGGGAGGAGCTTCTGTTTTTTGTTTTTTATTTTTGGATTGTGAAAGGCTACCAATAAATAAATGAGCATTATTATTATAACTGCTTAAGATTTTATATTTGTTTCTTAACTAAATGTTCTACATTATTTTACGAGCATTTACCTTACTTTTACACGTGTTATTATTATTATTACTATTTTACAATCAGTTCCGGCGTCAAAGCACTGTTGTTTTGTGCTGCCTCAATTAATCCTTGATCGAGGTTGCATTATCAATCTATTTTCTTTTTCAATGTTGTCAAAACAAAACATTTGAAAAGACCAGCTGAGAGAGGCAGGAACCAGAAAGTGAATCTTATCTCTAAAGCTAGATTTTAGACACGATAACGACACGACGACATATCATCGCGTTTGTATTCTTCAACACTGCGCGCATCTGCATTTTGTCGTTGTAGTTTCGTAATCGTGTCTAGTGTAAATTTAGCTTAACGTAACGCCCAATTTCAACAATTCCAAATTAACACATACAAATATTTGTAGAAAAAAAATGTACTAACTTATACAAAAAAGACATACAAAACATCCTTAAACAATCGATCAACGCACAAAAATCCCATTTTATTTTTGATCACTACTATACCTGTCTCTTATACACATCTAGATTCGTACCCTTCGTATAAACATACATTATGATGACAAACACTAAAAAATAATTTATTTTTTCAGATAATATCTATTTTTTGCTTTATGCCTGGATATGGTATGGTGACTGTGTGTAACACTTACTTTTCTGCCGTAAGTTATATATTTTTTTTACTGTTATCATCAACATCATTACGCCATTATCATCATCATCGCCATTATTGCCATCATCATCATCGTTATCATCATCATCATTATCATCATCATCATCATCATTATAATTATATTACGATTATTATTGTAATATTCTTAAATGACTCAGTAATGTGTAAGATGCCTGAGTCAGTAAGAATAGATTTGTTTTAACCTGATTGGAGCGAAGCAAGGACAGGGTTGTATTGTTACGTTGAGTAATCTCAAAGTGTTTATCTTGAGACAACTATATAGTTTTCTCAGGTTCAGCATTGAGAGATCTGATCTGATACAGTAAAGTCGACTAGTTACAATTAAGTTAATTACTTGTGTTTCTGCATATTCTACCATATTTAACTTAGATTTAATCAAGTACGTAAAACACATAAATCAAATACAAAATACTGTGCAAAAGAGAGGAGAATACCTAAAACTATTGTTGCATGACAGAAGGTAAATCTTTCATTGGAATGGACGACCACGAAATTTAGATACTGAATGATGGAAAAAATAAAACTCGAATGATATTTGTGTACGAAGTAAAGTACAGTATTAATTTGCCTTCAGTCCGTAAGATTGAGTATTAGAGCACTGCAAAGGCTCTTTGGATTCATTCTTATCAGCGAGTATGGCATTGAATACCTTAATCCTATCAAGAATGAAATAGAGAAACGTACTTGCGAAGACGATTTGTATTGTTACGGTTAAATAGTCTTAAATCTTGATTCATTTATGATGGAAATAGCTGAGCAGCGTGTGAGTTTCGCTTTCTATTATTGTAGGTATTTAAATGCTTTGAGTGCTTTTTTTTTGCACAGTGTACCTCGAATATTTTTTCTGCATATTTTTATAAAAATCAAACTTTACTTTTTTGTCAAAACAAATGAAGCCAAAAGTCATATCGAGAAAATCGATTTAAGAAAAGACAATTATTCTGTGTCTAAAATTCCTGAAAGAATTTGATGTCATGCATAATTGTAATCTTCATATAATAATTTCCACTAGTGTATGATGTACAACTATACTAATTGCTTAATAATAATTATATTAATAATATTAATAATTTTAGTTATTTTATTACTATTATTATTATCATCATCATCATCATCTTCCCGTCTATCTTCTCAAGGGGAGGGGGGGGGTCGGGTCGTCTCGCCACTTTCCATTCTCCCCTGTCACTAACTCAGATCAACAATTCTACCATCATCCCGGGCACAATTTCTTAGTCGTCCTTTCTTCCTTTTGCCGACCTCTGCATGCTCAGCTGCCCATCTGACTAAGTCGTCCTCTTCTATTCTCTTCAATACCACCTCAATATAATATTATAATTATGATGATGATAGACTTACTTTTTTACGCGCAGAGACCACGTATTATGCGCTTTATAAAGGCCTGTTTATAATTCAACGATAACTTTAACGATAAAAAAAAAAGCTAAAAAGCGATTGTTTATATAGAAAACAAAAGAAATAAGAGAAGTTTTTACACTAGGACGATTCGATAAGGATTTATCGTGTATACGATGACATATATTTTTTTAAAAATCAAATCACATGACGTCATAATCATTGAAAAACGATAAAATCGTTGCTACTACTACGATTTTAATGTTTTTCCATGATTATGACGTCATCTGATTTGATTTGTCAAAATATGTTGTTATCGCAAAACTGATCCATTGTTATCGAATCGTTCTTCTCTTATTTCTTTTACTTTCTATATGAACAATCGCTTTTTAGCATTTTTATCGTTATAGTTATATCGTTGAAGTATAAACAGGCCTTAAGTCTCCAACCATTACAATTACCATGATGAAGATGACGTATGGCGGTGTGGTGGAAGTGGGGTGATGATGAAGAAGATGATGATCCTGATGATGACGACGATTATTATTATTACATGCTATCATCTTTTTCGTTTAGGTGGTCTGCTGGTTCGTTGACTATTTCCCTGTACGTTTATCTCTTGATTTTATTTGTGTACATATACATGTATGAAAATATGGAAGGTAAGACACTATGCAATGTAGGCATAATAATTAGATGGTCAGAGATTTTAAAGATACATTCTCTTACATTACTTTCAGCAAACTGCTTCTCAAATACTTTTATAATGTGTTACAGATTGGTAATCTTATATTATATATTATACTTGTTGCAGGTGATTTACTATTACAAATGATTTTTTGTTTACTGTTTTGCAAGAAAGGTAAACGTATAACACTCACTTAACCAATGAAGAAATTATTAATAATAATTTTTTTTAAAATTACAATGAGTATAAATGAAAAACATTATACATATATAATAATTGAATATTTACTATTGTGTACAGGGTGGAGCATTAAATGCTTGGACGATTGGTACGAGTTTTCAGCAATCGGGACACACGGATGTCTAATGGTTGAGCTGGAAATACTTATATTTGAGGCTGGATACTTTTTCTGTGGTAAGCATACGGACGTTACTATTCAATATATAATTTGAGTACAACTTTTACATTCAATCACGAAACAAAAAAAAATCCAAATTAAAGCATACAGTCATTTCGTTGTCGCGTTGTTTTGGGCAGTTTCGACTGTCTACTCTTATCATTTACCATTTAAAAATAAATAACGTACGGTCGTAATCTCGATGTTATTCTTAATTCACAAATTAAAAAAATTATATATATTACATGTTTGTTCACATTGGCATAAAAAAGTGGTAGCTTGTCAGTTAGAATACCAAACATATAAAACATACAAACACAGGATACATGGAAAGACAGCAAAATTTAGATTTAATTTGGGGTCGCGTCGAGCACCAAATGATGATTACGTAACAGTAATAATACCGTGCGCCATCAAACACCAAGACATCCTGGACACTGTACGGTCCGGGAAGGTGCCAGCCACCATGAATGACTCTCAAGATAAAATGTTTAAAAAAATAAATTTGATAAATGCCAGTTAAAGCAATATAAAAAAGTTTTCCTTAATGAGTATCTACATCTCCCTTAATTTATTTTGGACCAAATTTAGCGAATTTAGTTTTAAAAGACTATCATATAGCTCATTCCAGATATTTGGTCCGTGAATAAAAATAGATCTGAAACGGGATGTTAGTCTTGAAAACGGTACATACATTTTGTTGGAATTCCTTAAGATTTTTGCGCATTTACGATGATATTTAGATATAAAACATACTGCCTGTACCTTATTCATATCAAAAATTGCAAGCATATTGAATTGTTTAATGAATAAAGGACGTAATCTAGTATTTTGGGGTGAATTTACTGTTAGTCTAACTGCTAATATTTGTAACTTAAGTAGCTAGGCTTATAGGACTATTTTCACATTGAAAACAAATGAACTATGGTAACTGCTGTCAGTGTCACCAATGAATACAAAATCTGTAAATGACAGATCACAATTACATTGAGCTTATCCAATATGTTTACGTCAATTTGCCCATATCCGAAAATATACCCGTAATCAACATTCTATAGCTTGAATAACAACAAAAGGCATTTCTATGTCTATATGTATGAGATTAACATTATTTAATCTAATGTTTTTGTCCTTTTGTGTCTCAAGGTACTGTTGGAGAAATGGAAGTTGATGTTTTTGGTGCTGTATATATCGTGATTTTCTACACATTTATGGTAAATCCTATCTCCTGACAATTTTAATCTGTAAATTCATAATACAATAGTGACAGTTGTTAAAAATGTGAAATGATAGTGGTATCGCTATTCAGTATATTAAATTATTTGAACTTTATTTCTAATTTAGGAGTAACAAAACAGCACAAGAAATATTGTATTTTTTAAAATTTTTAATTATTCGTTTATTTAAATACAAAATCATTAGTTTTGGTTTGATAATGATAGTAGGTCTGATCATTTTTCATAGGTTGATTATTCACTTTTGGAATATCCGAATCAAGAGTGCAGTTTAATTATCGATTTATAGAAAATTAACGAAATGTGCTATTTATGAATTCTGAGAATGTACCGTACCACTAATATAGGCATAGGCTTGCGATAACAAGTGTGTTAATTCAATTAGCAAATATTATTGTCATTAAAACGTAAGAGATAATGACAATAATATTTATTATTGTCATCGTGTGTAAATTAATGTCATTAGAACGTGAAGGTTGATGAATCTGTCCTAATAAAAAACAAATCAACCTTATTTATTATTATTATTATTATTATTATTATTATTAATATTAATATACTTAGATATGCTCTGGAGTTGCGTCGGCCTTAGCAATTCGAATAGGGCAAAGTTTAGAAGTAAATGGAATCGATCAAGCTAAAAAGTCAGCGAAAGTGGGATTTGTAATAAGCTGTAAGTATTTTCACATCAGTTTCTATTTACTCTGACGTCATTAATTAACATCATAAAGTAATGTAAAATGTTAAAATTGTAACATACATGCTAATATACTATCCTATATAAAATTGTATATGACAGAGGTTGACGTGTTACGGAACATAAAGAAGTCCTGAGGACAGGACGAAACATAGGCCTACGTTTTTCAATAAAATAATACATAACACGTTAACCTCTGTCATTTATTTTCGTACTTGACTCACATGTTATAATCTTTGATTCAAAAAGTTGTCCTTGTCTTCTTTTAAGGGATATATGGTGCTGTTGTATCAGTTTTCTTTCTGGTATTTCACAACTATGTTGGATATATATTTACAACTGATAAGTAAGTGATCTCATTTTGCATTACTCGTTATTAACGACTTATTAATCAGAATAAAATACTGCATATATCATAATGACAACAAAATGTATAATGTATGCTGCATAAGACACGCCTTTCAAAAAAATATCTTTGCCGGCGGTAAGCAGTGTTGCTAGCACTATTTCTTTCACAGCTGTGTACCTCTGTGGTTTTATTTCAGGCTCAAACACAAAGTAAAAACTAAAAGAAAAATATTTTATAAAAATAACATATTTGTTTTATTAATTTATTAACAGGAAAGTTGTTGAGCAGATTTCCAGCATCGTTCCCATGTTAATCACATTCGAGATGAGTGACCTCACCAGTGTATGTTTTATTACATTATTTTTGCTATCGTTACATCATATATTATCATTATCTTGATATTTCAAAAGTGATTGCTATTGATTTAAATGATTATTGGTATACTGACACTCGCCCTGATAGTGAGACGTTGCAGGTTCGAATCCCGTCAGAAACCTTTATGCTTTTTATATCTATTTTTAAATGTTATTAAGGTAATTTTGTAATGTGCAATCTTGGACCCCATCGGAAATCGGTTGGACTCCGGACTAATGGGCGTTCCTGATGCTTATTAATTTTTACTTTTATTGTTCTCAAATCATTTTTATACTGTTTGTGCTAGTTGACCATCGAATAAATTCACTCATTCAATCAATAAGTTTATGTGTTAATGTGATTTATTTATTTATTTATTAGAACATTGGAAAGGGCGTGTTACAAGGATGTGGTCGCCAGAGCGCAGGCGCACTTACAGCATTTATAAGCTACTATTTCATTGGTCTGCCAGTTTGTATTTACTTGGTTTTTATGTGTGGTTATGGTGCCAAAGGTATGAACAAATATCTAATTATAATATTAATCATAATTATTACATTATAGGCCTATATTACATTCAAATATTTATAAAGTAAAGATGCTCTTAAGAGATTAGAATGCGAATTGTATAAAATATTTGTCATAAGAAAAGATGACAGGTTTATGTACGGGTCTAAATCATGGACGATGAAGGCTGAATCTGAATCTATGTAGAATCGTTTTATACAATCCATTTTCAAAATATTTATTACAGGAATGTGGATTGGTCTGTGTGTTGGGAATGGGACGCAAGCGATTGGTCTTCTGCTTTACACCTTCAATATTGATTGGGAATCGGAAGTGAAATTGGTAAGTAAAGGATTTTAGAATAAGTACTGTATTATTTATTACTGACATACTGTCTGGAGTATGGATATGTATATAAACATACAGATAAAATTATTGAATTGAAATTCTTAATCTTATGTAAAGAAAAAATAAATAAAAGCAAAATGATAAGATAGACTATTTATATATAAACCTTGAGGCCTAACTTTTCAGTCACTTAGAATCCCGAAGAGATCCCTTCAAACATCAGATACGATCTAGCAAAGTGTAACGCTCCATATTTTAAATGAATGTAAATAAAAATTATATCAATAGTAAAATTAATGTAAAGTTACATAAATGTTTACGTAGAGGCATATATGTTATATATATTAATCGCTGTATTTAATCTCACGCCTCACAGTGCCAAGAAAGAAACGGAGACTTTACTCTAACCGAAGCCGAAGAAGAGAGTGACATGTCGGAAAATACAGATGAGTCGGGAACTAGCAGTAGGCCTAAAGGAAGTGACAAGTTTAAAAGCAGTGAAAAATCGAGGAAAACCAATAAAGGCAATGAAAGGCCGAAAAATATCGAAGAGGGCAGGAGAAACAATGAAATTACACCATTGGTTGAGAAATCAGAATTCAGATTAAGTCGAGAAACGATATACATGCGAATAGTCAATGTTACTGTGGCAACCATCATATGCTTCGCAGGCATTGCCTATTATGTGATAGGCCAATCATGATTGCCCGAGCGGTCAAGGCAGGGGCACCGTGATCATAGCCACCAATATCGGCACAGGTTCGCGGCCGGCTCGCTCCCTGGTGGTGAAACAAGTCTTCTCGGATAAGGACTATAAACCGTAGGCCCAGTGTACACAAATGCTCATGTGCACTTTAAAGAACCCAGTACACCTTTCCAGATGATTAGGGGTTACCCGGTGTGCTGGTTCACTCGGCTCCTGTCGTGGACAGATGAAAGTGCGCCAGTTTACTGGGTGCAGTGGACCTCAGGGGAGGAGAGTTATTTCAAAGTGCAACATCTAGTCCGAGCGCATAGAGACCTCGTTTATCTGCGCTATATAAATCCATCTACTATTATTATTATTATTATTATTATTATTATTATTATTATTATTATTATTATTTCTAATACCTGGCTTTGTAATTTAACCATTTTTGCTACAGTATGTAATACATGTTATACCTTTATTCATAAGATTTACTGAGGAAAATTAACCGACATTCACAAGTATACAAGACACTAATAAATCTTTATCTAAATTATTTTTTATTAACATAACATTAAAAATTCTGAAACTTTGAAATTGTAACAGTGTAAACACGATAAAAAAATGGTATAAATTCATCACCTGATGTGTATTGCCTAAGTCAAGCTATAACAGCTTTAGCTCACATATTACCAGAATATACAAAGCTTAGTGAAGAAGGTTACATTATCATTGTTGTTACCATTATTATAATGATATTGTGGATTTCCACTAGTGAGGTGGAATAAAAACAAACGCAACAGACATTGCTCAATTATGATCTAATAAAAAATATGGGGATGGTAGCAAGGCTGAATTCATATTTGTGAAGTGGGCTTATTTTATGGTTGTTTTATAGCCAATCAAAAGAGATAATAATAATAATAACAATAATAATAATAATAATAATAATAATAACAATAATAATAATAATAATAATAATAATAATAATAAAACATGGGTAGCATAATTATAAATGGATGTAATTAAAATAATTATCAATAAATATATCAAGTCATTGCACAAATTGAGTTTTCAAAGTCTATAAGCCATCAATGTTATAAACTTAAGTAATTATGTAAGTCTTAATGAATAATATATTGCCCTGTAAAATGCATGCACATGTATAATAGTATATAATATTTTGGTTCTTGAAGAAATATATACAGAAATAAATGTTGAAAAAAAGCCACTTGGGGAAAAACTATTTCTATTACATTACAGTATAAATAGGGTTGTATTTACATAAATATAAAATACTGATGCTTTTAGAAGATTGTAATTAAAGTACATTTTTAAAGTAAAAATTAAAGAATCATTTAATTCTTAGGGAAACTTTCAGCCCTCTTAGTGAAAAAATTGGCATTTTCATATTTTATTGTTTAGTACTTTTAAATTTTAGCATTTTAGAACAGTTTATAATATGCTTTAATATTGTAAATATTATATTGTTTTATATAATTTTAGATGCAAATAATGTATATCAAATTACATTAAACTTGTTTAACAATGTAAAGAATTACATTGTTACATGAGTTGCCCTGAAAACAGTCTTATCCACTAAATGTGTACATACTTAATGTATGTTCAATAAATTTGCCCAAATAGTCCAGATAAACAAAACAACCAATAAGTACAATATGTAATTACAGGGGTAAGAGTGGTTCTATTTTTCTTCAAAGGCCCTCAAGGAGGCCTCCTTAAGCTTCAAACATCTCCTTTTCCTTGCTCTCTCTTCTATTTAATTGCTACTGTATACTCAAATAATATAAAGAATAGAGTTTTCACACTCTCAGGACAATAGAACATACTCCAAAAGTAAGTCTCATCGAAAAAAGATGTTGGGATACTGAATTTGCAAAACCTCCCCAACACTCACCACCCCTTCCCCTCCCCACTTTCCGTAACATCTTATGGTGTCTTTCATATATTATTATCCTCTTGACCTCAGTTACAATTTGGGCCAACATCTCACACCAACTTGCAAACTAAACGCCCCAATTTTCATTTCATCCACACAAACTCAACACTAGGAAGGTGGAACTTCATGCGCAAGTTTTTAACCCACACAAGTTGGATATTTGAAAATTGACTATAATTCAATGAATATCTTGTAACTTTGAATGAATTAATGCATAATAAACCATAAAAATCTCACAACCATACCTAACAATGGTATTTGATAATTAAAGACCCTCAATGCTCTTTAAAAAATTCTCAAGAGGGGAGCGGAGAGCTGACCAATTGTGACGTGCTCTATACCCAAGTCTCTTTATGAGACTGAGTGGAGTCTAGTTGAGAATATCCTGAGGTATTTGTAGGATTGAACCAGTAACTTCAGATTGGAAATAGAGCACTTCACCACCAGAACACAATTCTATTCCTCATGAACCCGTATTTTCAATACCTTAAATATTTGTCATATAATTATTTAAACAGATTTTTAGATGCTTTTTTGCCATTTATGGCAGTGACAGTAAATAATTCATTAAAATGTTTTCAATTTTTTTTAAAGATTACTTTTATCACAAATCTACTCGTAATAAAGTCCATACACAGTTGCTGAGGCAAAGAGGGCAGTGTTCTCATATGAAGCTGATGCGAATGTATCTCGCTGTGAATCCCATAAGCACCGGCTTCCAAGGCGCACATCTTGATCACGTTTCTCACCAATGTATACAATACAAATAAGCTAAAATTAAAAATAATTTAGAAAAAGTAATTTTAAAATTATGAGCAAACAACAAATATTTTTTGTTTTTATTTCTTTTTATTACACACAATGTAATATTAATATTTACATACATGTGTTTAATAACATGTCATTAAAAACTATTTAAAAACATTTTTAAAATACTGTTTATGGCCCACACAGATATTTGGCCATCAAAACAACAAAAAAATGCAATATTTAGACAAACTGGACAGTCAAATTCAATCAATTCAATTAAATATGATGGTGACAATGATGATGACTTTGATGATGATTTTGATGATGATGATGATGATGATGATGATGATGATGATGATGCTGATAATGGTGATGATGATGATGTTGTTGGTAAAAGATGATGATGATCATAATGATGACAATGAATATCATCCTGATGATGATAATTATGATAATGATAACCTAATGATTATCAACCTTATAATCATGATGATCACAATCACAAGGTTGATGCTATTGATGTAACAATGATTATGTTATTATTATGCTGATGATGATGATGATTATGGTAATGATGATGGCGTTGATGATGATTATAATGATAGTAATAATAATAAGCACAATGCCATTGATGTGACAATGATTATGTTATTATGATGATGATGATGATTATGGTAATGATGATGACGTTGATGATGATTATAATGATAGTAATAATAATAAGCACAATGCCATTGATGTGACAATGGTGATGGCAATGTCCTTTTTGTGGTTGATGATGGTAACAAAGAAAATGTTGATGATTATGGGCAACTGCAACCCATTCTATTCCACATCATTAAAATCACATAAACTTCACCTTAAACCTTTCAAAGTTTAACAACTTGACCTGATCATTAACTTCTCCTGCGATTGTTTTGCTCAAACTACCAATGGCCGTTGCATCGTACATTGAGATGTCTGATAAGTGTTTCTCAAGTGCTGTTTGAATTATTGGTTCCACATGTTCAACAACAAACCTACAATAAAATGTAAAAATATAATACACATTATAAGGACATTAAGTTAAGTACTTAATTATTCTTATTATTTAATTCATAAACTCCATAAGCTCGTTCGACTATGTTCTCACACGGCAGCTAACGGTTAGCAGGATCCAGATCCTGCTAACCGTATAGCTGCTGTACGTTCATATGAGAAGATCCCGATCCGGATACTAAGAATATGATGATCGAATCACTGGCCACTAAGAAACTGGAAATTGTAAACGCGTACGTGTGATTGGTTGATGATAGAAATGCGCTCAACGTGATAACCGATAGCGCTTGCTAACTGTTAGCGGTATCCGGATACCGCTAACGGTTAGCGCTAACTGATCCGTCGTTCTCACACAGGTGCTTACGGTTAGCGCTAACAGTTTACTCCTGATCCGGATACTAGGGCTCTCGTGAGAACCAGGCTCAAGATACTTGGGTTTCAACATTTCAAAAGTATCATTCCATTGTGTAAGTTGTGTACACTTGCTCTGGAATTGAGGGACATCTTAGTAATCCTATCTAATCTATTCTCTACTGTACATGATTTCTAAAAATATTAATCCTAAATATAATAGCATGCCACACCTTTTTGGTGGATCCACTCTAATATTATTCCAATTGATTTAATCTAAATACTTTTGTGTTGTTTATAATATTTTTGAATGTTTCTATTGTGATTTTATTGATTTTAGAGCTGTGATTTTATATTGCATATATTGTATGTTCCCCTTTTTGGCATTTTCGCTGTTGGGGGTGAAATGAAATTTTAAAAATAAGTAATTTTGTTTATTAAAAATATAAATTATTGTATAAGAGATTCTTGTAATCTCGAAAGCTCTAATGAGCGTAGTATAGTAGAGGCAGTAGAGCTAAAAAAGTTCTATTAATCAATAATTAGCTGAGTGTTTCTAGAGCTCCTTCTTATCGGAACTAAAAACAATAACATGTCATACCTTTTTGGTGGATCCATTCTATATGTATTCTCTACCTCAATTTCACCTCTATGCTCATATTCCTCAAGGTTTTCAAAACTTGGTGCACACGCCATGGATATGTAGCTATTACCTGGCTTGAAATTGCGTCGTGTCAGCTCAAAGAAACTTGATTTCTTCTTAGTTATCATGCTAGACTGGGCCTCCAGTCTTGGATTCTCCACCTTTGCTGCCATATTGTAAGATATGTTTCATTCACTTAAAACTGATTTGGAAAATACTCCTTAGCCTGCTAAAATTGCTTTACTGGAAGATAAAAATTGTATTTATCAGAGATATCAGTAAAGTAGCATTAATTGTATATGAGAGTATGTAATAGTCATGTATTCTGAGTTAAGTGAGGTGTTGAAGAGAGGCTAAAGGGTGATAAAAAGCTGTCCATATTTCCATTGCAAAGGTGGCTGCAATCCCTTAACCTTTCCATCTCTGGTCAAAGGTGAGGAAAACACTTTGTTTTAAGAAGGGGGGGGGGGGGTTTAAATTCAGAAATAACTCCACAACCCATCAAATGGAAGTTGATGCAGTCCCACCTCCATCCCCAGCAGCATATGTTTTATGTGAAGTTTTTTTCAACATTAACAATGAATGTATGACTTTGTCGATCAATTATTTAGATTTATTTAATTCTTGTGATATTTAACCAGGGTGCCTATGGGAAGATTAAAAAATATTGATCATGGAAGGCCCATGGGGAAATAAAAGATAAAAATGAAAGCTTAAGGTAGATTGATTGATGGATGTCTGTATAGTATAACAGGTACAGGGAACTATTTGAATTTGATTGATTTTTCTAAGACCCCGATCTCTACCTGAATACAGCCCCTCCTGCTATCTTACCCCCTCCCCCTAACATGATTCATCTACTGTATGCTCTAGGCAATTAAAACTATTCAATCTTTAGTGGATATAATTTAAGGACGTTGATAAATATGAAGTACTTTTAGAAACATCTGCTCACAAGTAGAGCAATTTTATCAAACAAAGTTATCTATTAATCATCTGAAAAGTCAATAACAAAGGTGTACATCAATCAAAGTATACATAAGTAAAAAAAAAGTTTTTTTCCGTTTTTTAAGTGCTGTACTGTAAAGATAGATTTCTCTCACAAATCAATATCATTCAACTGTAAATTTTAAACTACAGGTTGCCTTGGTTACTTATTGATGATATAGCTTCGTTGATTTGATACACTATGCTATACAAATTTAACACCATGACTAAATAACACAAAATGTTTAAAATGTACAACCAGATTATTGGGATGTTTATTAGTGAGTTTCTGATAACATTATTTACTTTGATAATAAATGGAGAAAGCAACAGAATACTATACCATGTCATAGAAGTAAATTTCTAATTGTCTACCTAATTAGCAAGAATTAGATGAGATAAAACTACTGTATTTTAAAAATAAATCTTGTAATGAGATTGAAGAGTGGCATTGAACATGACTAGGGGAGGGGGTACAGGAAAAGGATATGATCAGAATGTGCGGTGATATGAGCTGATTTTCAACTAATTGGGTGTAATTTCCAGTGGGGAGGGGGAAGGATTTGAACATTTATGCTCCCTCTTAGATATGCCCTGGGCAATAAGTATTATATCTAGACTTAAATAAAAAGACGTAGCCGCTATATTTCCCAGGCTTTTAAAACAACTGTAATCCCTTCACAGATATTGGCACAGTTCATCCTTGTTTAATTTGTTGGCAATTGACATATTTTGATGTAGGCTTACCCTTCCTCTCATAAAGCCCATGGACCTTCATACAAAACTAAGCATCAACAAGAAACAACAAGTTTGGCCTACAGGTAGTTTTGCCAGGATTGGCAATTAGGACTTTGTCATAATGCCAATGTAAATTAATTCACTTCTAATTCATCATCAATACCTGCACATGCATTCATTCATCCCTACACTAATTGATAATCAATACGCTTGTTTGCAACGCTCTAAATACGCTGACTATTAAATTGGTGCGTAAACACAGAGGAATTAGGATGAAAGTTAATGCAATTAGCTCTCTTGAATAAAAATGGAAATTGACTTGTACTGTAAAATAAAAACTCAATTGTTCCTCAAATTAATCTAATTCTTATTCAAACTACAGTTCCTCAATCAGGTCCTTTATTTGTTTTTCTGCCTTTATTCAATGTTAAAAAACACTTTAATATTGCAATGTAATTTTTTTTTTTTAAATCTTTGTTTGTCATGTCTTTTGAAAATGAATAAAAAAGGCCTTTTATATGAGCATCCAATCAGTTCATGCATTTAATTCCCTTCTTCCTGTTCCATAGTATTAACCAGCTAGTAAAAAATAAAATTGGAATGAATGCTCAATTATTCCTCAAATCTATCTTCAATTTAATTCCTACTCAAGCAACATAGTAAGATTTCAATAACCCATTCAATCAGTGAATTTAATTCTATTCTAATACTTTTATTATAGTTTTAACAGGTTAGTAATAGTACTCTAAATTTATTATTATTTTCAAAGATGTGATAAAATGCAAAGAAACCCTCATTACACATTCAATTAAATTAAAAGTAAGTTTTCAAGATCAGGTATCCTTAAGTATTTATCCTTAGGTTCATTACCAGCCATCCAATATCTGTGTATCGATAATCAAAGAAAAATAATAATTTAGAGCATTAGTCTGTTAATTGGGGTGGAAACAAATTTTCTTTATAAAAACTATAAATAAGCTCTCACTGATTAGTACATGTGTTGTTTGTTATTAAAAAGTGGAACATATTCGATTATCAAACTGAATGTGTAATTATGACGCAAACTTACCAACCACTCAGGAAAAACCATGTTATTAATGTCAGTAAACGATGAGGAATTGGCGTGAAAAGCAGCTACAAATTGACAGTAAGTTAATATCATAGAAGTCTTGTATAAATATTGTCCACGGGGGATGGACATGATTGGGTAAGCCCGAGTAAGATCTTAATCACCGAATCAATCATCGTAAACCAGCAGGAAGTTTAAACATAGAGTACAAAGACAGGTAGGATATTAAGAGTAAGATCGCTGGATCTAATATTGATTTCAATTGGTTGTTCTCAAAAGATACGATATCAACATCTAAGAATAGCTCACAATAAACACTGTTTACTGATGCTTGCAAGTAATTGGTTTGTATTTATTCAGTTGAGTGAATATTTTAATCCAATCAGAATGCTTTTGTCAGAACTTGATTTAATTTTAAAGGACACTGTCTAAAATTATTGTACATTTAGATGAAACTTTTTAAAATTAATATTAATCAATTGATAAGTACAGTATTATTAAATAAAAATTATTTCATTTTAAACAATGAATTTATTCATCATAACTTCATAATCAATTTTTATTTCTATATATTATAATACTACTACTATATAATAATGATATTAATTATTCCAAGCTTATTTCTAAAATGCTTTCTATTGTTTAAATTTAAAAAGTTTATTAACATTACTTATTGCAAGTTTTATAAGTAGACTGCAAGTTTTGTAAGTCAATTGCAAGGACACAGAAACTATTCTAAATTTAAAAATCAATGGAATTTTTGAAAATCTCACGTTATAATTATTTAATCCACGGATTTAGAGTTTAAAAGTTGATGCCAAATTTTGGCCTAGCGTATGTTATGTTACATGTTAAAGTAATAGCCAGCAAACAACAAACATTAATAACATTTGTGAACGTTGTGGTTAGCTGTGGCAGAATGCATGTTACAATTTTATTTAGTGAATTTATGTTATAAATATGTATTATGGTTCTAAATATTGTGTACAGCAAACAGGGGTTTAGCCAGAAAAATGAAATAGGCCATACAAAATGGAAGCCAGGGGGCGTGGCCCTGAGCCAATAGGAGGGCCACGCTCACTCAGGACCATGTTCCCCCTCCCAAACATAAGAAAAAAAATAGAAAATTATGATGTTTAGAGGGCATTTAAAGGTGTTTAAATGTTGGAATTTTTGACTTCAAAGGAATAGTGTTGAATTAGCTATCACTATATATTAGTTATAGACATAGATTGCACATGGCTATAGTTACTCACATACTGTATGTTTCTAGGTTATGCAGATGCATCTTCATTTCTCGCCTTAGTCTAGTGTAAATTCTACTCTAGGTCCTCCGAATCGAGAGTCTTTTTGTTGATTAATAAAATTTAACTTGTGACCTTAACAACAAATCTTCTTTACGGTATTTCATGAATTAATTATAACTATAAAGTTTCGAACACCAACAATATTATGTCGGGGAACCGAATCTCAAGTATTGTATTTGCAGAGCCATGTGCATGCATTGTAGGCGACTCAGAACCATCCATTTTCCAGCAGGGTATAAAGGTTTTTAACACGATGCATGTTGTAAGTGAACTGTCCACCGGGTGGGTAATGGTTAAACCTTACATTTTTGGGAATCCCCACCGAATATTGGTATGAAAACAACGTACATTCAATCAATAAAGGTTGCTTTTATCAAACGTATATGATTTTGCTTTAGTTTAATGTAAAATTCGATAGATTTGAAGAATATAAAGAATTTGCTAAAGGTAGACCAGCTCAATTAGGCTAAGCCAAGCTGATTAGGCCAAGCCATCCAAGCCGTCACGGTAAAAGTGGCCGTCCTAATTAATTGTTGACCGTCCAAAAGACAGCCGGATGGCTCGCTGGCTAAGCCTATGACAGCAAACTATATTTCAAATACATTGAACCCTCCATTTCAACTTTTCAAGACCCCTCTAATTCAAGACCACATTTTCAAAGAACCAAATAATCTTCAATCATTTAACACAAAGATAATCCTCTTGCCCTAAGTGGAGACTGAGACCATCCCAAATTTTCGGGTCCCATACCTTACATACAGTAGCCTACTTAAGTGTCTTTCTCTACCATCCACTTGGGCAATCATTGATGTTTTTTTTGCATCTTGATTTTATATTATTGAAATGAATTTATTTTTTATAAATACTAATATTTTATTCTTGTATATTAAATCTATTTTGTATTATTTCTATTCGTGTAAATTGTTATGTTTTTTAAACAGAAGTAAACCGCTGATTGCCATGTTATTTTTTAAAACACCTAATCAAACAGGCTATTTTTTATTTGCATCTGGCATAAAAAAAAATTATAAAATTTTATTTAGTCATATTAAGAATAAACCTAGTACTTGCATTTGAGCTTGGAGTGATCTCTGGTGAATTCATAGCTACTACACTATCTGGTAAATTACATTATCTAATTACTGTAGTAATCAACTTTAAAACATAATGAGCTTTGTGGAAATTAATGTGGACAACGGTCAGTATCCTTAAGATTTCGCTGTGATAGTAATTAATTTCATTTTTTCAGACTCTAGTTCTGCTTGCCTATTCAAATCTACCACTCTTATACTAGGAAAAAAAATTACCATTGTACAGGCATGCATGTATTATTTTTACCTACAAGTAGAATGTCTAGCCCAGTGGAAGACACAATTCTCCATACTTAGGAAATACCAACATGATCATATTTCAATGTCCGACTAGATAAAGACTATTTCCTAAAAGAAAGACTTTAAAATTAATTTTATCAGAATGTGATTAGAAAAAATATTGGGATATAACACAACTTACCTTGAGAATAACTAATGTTTAGTGACTGCTGCCGGTGTATACAATGAGTAGAGCACTTACCAAAAAATGTACAAGTGACTTAACAATCAAATCACCATGGCAACTGTCAAACAGCTCTGTATGATATTAAAATACCATGCACTGTGATTAAATTGAAAAGCTTAGCAATGTTTTGTGAACATGCTTGGTCGCTGATCAGAGCTTTCTATAATGAGGAAGTCCCTTGGACAACGACAACCCTCAAGTAGTCTGCTACAGTCTGTTGCCATGGTAGCTGGATAAATTAATCTAGAATTGGAATGCGCAAAATGTAAATTTGATTGGTTGAAAGATAAATGAAAGAAGCAATAATCACCAAACCCAAACAGCTCTGAGGCTTAGTCATTTAAAGCAGTGCTAAGATCTGGAAAAACCTGGAAAATTAAAGTACAACATTTAATAGAATCAATTTATTTTTGAGTACAGTACAAACATCTTTAAATTAATTTATGGGTCTCATTAAATGAATATAATATGGTAGGCCCCTATTATCTAAATCATGCATACTTTTTACTGACAAAAGAAAAAAATTATAGTTTATTTTTTCAATTGAAGGCTAACATAACTTAATTATAAAGGAGGTCATTGAATAACTGAATTTGATCACACACAATATCATTAATATTTTTCCACCAATGCAAGGGTCAATCTAATAAAAATTATCATATACATCATGCTACATGGGAGGATCTCCGTAGGAAAGCAGTCTTCATCCCAGATACTGGTGTCATCATCTAAAAGAAGTGAATAAGTAAGAAAGATGCACAAGATGTACATGTTTATATATCCAGTAACTGTTTTGAGGGAAGGGGGAGGAAGAAAAATACTGCTGTGTAATAATAATATGATGATTGTCTAAACTTGTTGCCTAAGTTATCTAAATATTAACTAACACCTAGGTCTACTGTAATCTAATCATTCATTTTTATTTATATCATACTTTAAAAATTATTCTTCATTCATTGATTATTCAAATGGTATGAATTAATTGAATAGAATATCAATTTATTAAATATGATGTACTATGTGTGCAAATAATAGATTGTGAATCAAAGCCGCAATGCTTATTACTAGGGGCCTACGCCTATAGGAATTGAAAAGGGGGGAAAGGCAATTAGTTGAAAGGCAATAGTGCAGTGTCATCCTAACCGATCACAATTTTTTTTCAAAAAATGCTGAATTTCATTTTAATACGTTAGCCATTATTAGGAAATATTGTGTGGTTTTTTTGTTGTTTTTTTTTTCTTTTTCAATCCCATCATGCTTGGTTGTGACGTGCCCTCAGTTGATATTTCTTGATTCGTGGTAAACCTTTATTGCCTGGGAAGGCTGAGGCTCCACCATCAGGCAAAAGAGAAAGTAGAAGTAGGCCTAGTCCTGCTTCTGTCTACACAGGCTTAAGCCATATGCCTACATGGAGGAGCCTAGCCTAGGCTAGGTTTGCCCCAATGCTAAACACCGGTCCTATTAGTATTACAGGCCTAGCTGCCTAGCCTAGGGCCTACCCACAAACACCCATCATCAAGTAACGATACCTCCTTCCTTGACCTTGCATCAAGATACCCGAAAGTTCGGACTTACCGTATAATAATATCCTGTGACATCAGAAGCTAGACTTGATTGTTGCAACGTTAGGAGAGTTATTTTTAGAACCCAACAGGTGAAATTTGATCGCAAATAACTTGTTTTATCGTTTACCAGCAGAATTCCTCCAACCAGGGGGCCAACCACAGTTATTCCACTCTTCACTTCTCTGACGATTTACACAAAATAACCTCGCTAGAGAAAACTTTCTGACCAATCAAAAACTGGTCAACAACAAAAGCGCTATCGTTATGTCGCCCTCTTTCATTTCTTAACACAGAGTAGAAAACAGAAAAAAGGGTTGTTTTCAGCCTTTACAAAACATTTTACTACAAAAATCCTTAAATAATCGATTACCAGTCAATTTAAATATCATGCAAAAAACTATAGGCAAGTAATAATTTAACTGTCCGAAAATTTGATTTGGGAATTTTTAATTTGAAGTTGATAACTTACTTAAATATACAAATCCAGCAATTGATAGTCCTATGCTGAATAAAAATTTGCAAATTGTTTACCTCATAACTGATAGTACATGTTTATTCTTAAAATTAGTAGAATTAGTTACCCTGAATGAGCAAATGCTACGGTATAGTATGGAAGAGCAAGGGAGCAGCAATTTCAGTAGTCATACAGTTTACACTAAGTAATTATTCACTTGATTTTGAATTAGTAATAGTTAGTTCCCAATACCCTAAATCGCCGTTTCTTAACATTTGGGCTATACCCACCTATTTCTTCATGATCGTATGTGCCGTGACTTTATTTAGGTTGCCATGAGAAATCTCTTAGGTCCTCTTGATACAAAAATGGTTATTTTATAGTAACGTAAGTGCTGAACAATTGACAGGCAGAGCTTTAGCGAACATTCTATTGCTGGTTAATCTTTCTGATGTAAACGTAATTCGTAATTCTCCATTTTAGCTGCCCTTCTATGTTGTTTTTTTTTTTAAATTTTTTCCCATTTCAACCGCATTTACAGCAAATTATTAATTCAATAAAACATAGTCATTCTTATAAATAAATTTTAAAGATACAAAGCAAATGGTATATAAATAAATAACTTAAAAATCAATATAATGTCAAACAAAGAAAAGAACAGTACCGTACACTTATATTTACCAACAACATCAAAATTAATGAAGTTTCAAAGCAATATAATATAACATCTCTTTTTATGAGTTGATTTTCATAAAGGGTATATTTTTAAAAAAAATTGCTAATAACATATCTTAATCTCACTATTTTATTTTTTTTTTTATAAATAATTAATTAAAACATAGACCAATCTTATTGTCTTATAATAGGCCAAAATAAATTGACAAACAGTACTTAAATCGAATGAATGTGTAAAGGAATTTAACAAATAGCTAATGTAATACAATGTCAAACAAAGAAAAGAACACTACGGTACACTTATAATTAGCAACAACATAAAAAATAGAGTTTCTAAGCAAAATAATATAACGTCATTTTTAATGAGTTGATTTTATTTTTAAAGGTAGGTCTATATAATAGGCCTACAATGTATCGGCATGTCGAGAAGATTTACAAACTGCGAGAGAATACACCAATCCTCCACCCAGTTGTTTTGAAATACAACGATCAGGGGCTAATTAACCTTTCACAAGTTTTTTGTCAAACACTTTTTGAAAAATCGATTACAACATATAATAATAATAATAATAATAGGCCTATCAATATTTTTTCCTTGAATCAGAAAAACATTGTAATAACCAATTCTGTTGTTTCATATACTTACTTTACTTAATTTTGGTATACTTTTGGTGTTGGGCTTTAAGCTATTATATGCCCCTCTCTGGACTCCCTGCCATGCTCTCGTATAAGGGTTAAACTTCAGTGGGTGTGATATCCAGTCTTTCCTTAATTCTGTTTTGAATTTATTAATAGACGAAGCTTTTACAACTTTTTTCCGGTAAGTTATTCCAATCATGAAATGCTCTCACTGCAAAGCTAAACTGCCTTAGTCTGGTCTTAGCTTTAGTTTTTTTTTAATTTTTAATGAGTGACCTCTGGTTCGGGATGCAGCATCCATAATAGAGATTGTCAATTCCTTTTAAGATTTTAAAGATCCCTATTACATCAGCTCGTTTCCTTCTATATGCTAGTGTTGGAAGGTTGAGATGAATTACGGTAGACGTTCAGGATAACTGAGATCCAGGTAGTCCAGGTAGAAGTCGAGTTGCTCTCTGCTGAACTTTCTCAAGTTTATCAGCATCTTTCTCATATGAAGGACACCAAGTAACGTTACCATACTCCAAGGATGGTCTTACAATTGTCTTGTACAATTTCACCAAGCCTTTTTCGTCCAATTGGGAAAATGATCTTTTTATAATCCCCAGTTTGGAATTTGCTTTTTTGGCTGGATTAGATACATGATTTGAGAATTTAAGTTTACTATCGAAGATCACACCATTAACCTCATTAACAATTGGAATTTAGTTTTCTACCATTGGTTCCTTCAATTGAATATGTAAACTGTGGATTCAACCTACCAAAATAGATAACCTTACATTAAAGGGAAGTTGCCATAATTTAGACCAATTCACAACAGCATCTAAATCTTTTTGTAAAGAATGGGCATCGTCTTGGTTATTGACAATTTTGTACATAATTCATTTCATTTAGCAAATATCGTACCAACAACTCATGCGTTACGAGGACATGTAAATGAAATATAGGCCTATTCTTTTGCAAAGTATAATAACATTCCACTCATTTCGTTTACGGTAGCCTACTGATACCTAAAACATAATGGAATTTGGATATTAATTCTGCCTCTGAAATTGGTGGTAAAAGGCATTAAACATTAGTAAAGCATGCAATGCATATGCCAAAATGCGAGCCTTATGCCGTATTAAAATTATCAAAATTATCAATAACAGACTTACAATCAATCTGTTACTTTTCTTTAGAACATTTTCAAATTGTTAATGTGCATTTAGTTATTGAAATAAATACGATAATGGTAAAAGCCCCCTCAATCTGAAGGCTATTAAAAAACAAAGAGAAGTTATTTCACGCTTGAGTGGTTCATTTTCATTCATAGGGGGCGCTCGAGAAGATAGATAGACAACAAACACGAGGAAAGTTACTGTTGTTTTTGTGGCGTGAGGATTGGTGGTTGCTGTTCAGGACCGGCGACCTGTGTGTGTATGTGTGTCTTAGCCTCCAACTATTGGAAGGATTTGCTTATCTTTGTTAGCTGTTGCCCTGGACAGAGTGGAAGAATTTGGTATCTACCTGGAAATAAATGCTGTCTTTATCATCACGCAGAAAAATATATATTTAGGCCTAGTAATATTTCAAAATACGGCTATTTTATTGATTGAAGCTTTGCAATTAGGCAAGCTCCTACCTGTGCCTACTACTACTATACTACTGGAAACTACTTCTTTTCAACGAGTGTTCTAGCCTAGAATCAAATGACGATGGCACTTTTTAATGTTTTTTTTGGACTCATCACCGTAAATTTATTATTTACTTCTGGTAATTCACAACCAGATTGGAACTCCTGGCGGCATAGTGCGGCAAAGAAAATATTTGGAATTGATTCCAATGTCGGCAGCCCCATAGATGACGGTAAGAATTATTATTATTAATTATTATATAGGCCCTATAAAGATTACTATTTATTTTTACTATTTAAACCTGTGCAGTCCCTTCCATGGCTAGCCTTGGCCTAGGACCCAATGATAAGCCTACTATTACTAATAATATATGCATAGGCTTAAGCTTAGTAGTAGATCATATGCTGACCAAGGAGAACCATGGCCTCTTCATACTGTTTGTGAATTTTTCAGAATCAATGACTGTCTTATATAAGCCAGAAATAATCAACTGATATGTTTTCAGAGTGGATGTGCTACTGCAATCCATTTCTCCTCAACAAAACTGTTTTAAATGAGAATCTGCAGATTTTGTAATTACTATTTACTATATATTTTACTTTGTAGTTTGCAAGATTGAAAATAATTTTGTGTCAAAATTGCAATTTTTACAATTGAATTATGAATCAACAGTATAAAAAATATCCAATTTTAAACTTGATTAACAGTAAGGCTGGACAATTAGGCCTAAAAAAAAAAACTTGTTTGTTTGCCGTCATCCGCCGCCCCTAAAAATCCCAAAAATTACGGCCGGGTTTTTTTTTTTCAAAAAAGTTTTTTTTTTTAAGTTTAAAAGATCAAATGAAAACCACCTTTTCGTCGATTTTGGCACAGATCCGTATTATATGGAAATTTTTACTATTTAAAATTTATTTTGAAAACAAAAATATGATCGTTTTTCCGTGAAAAAATGACAATCGCACAGTTTTCACGATTTTTCTATGATTTTACGAAAAAAAAAAAAAAAATTCCACCCGCCCCAGCAAACAATTAAATTTTTTTTTAGGCCTTTACCTTTGAGTTGAAATATCAAATCCGGAGGTATGGTGCTATTATTGCATTATCACTTTCTGTTACAGGTGTTAAGATCATACATTGAGTTATGAGTTATTAAGAATAAATAAGTAATTGGTTTGGTTAATTTTGATGAGAATATATTTTTATTTTACAATGGAATCTGATGAATATTTCCATTTGTTATATTATGGAGGTATACCGCTATAATGTGCGAAGATCTTTCTCCCAATGGTATTTTTGGCCTACCTTTGACCTTCAGGTTTAATGTGACACAAATTTATTCAATTTAATAAGAATCATGGAAGTCAGGTGCTTTAAGAGTGAAGTGGAATTGTGGGATTAATCTCCCAGAGGACTCGGTACAAACAGTACATTAACATTTCTATTTATTATTACTGTAATCT